TATACATATATGTAATTTATAAAAAAATGTTAATTGTGATGGTATATTTCAATATAATTTGTTATTTTTTATCAATAGGGGGCAGTATTAGCATACCAAATGGCATACCTGTTTAGGAAGTCTGATTACCACTCTCCATTTATACAACTGTCTGGTAAATATAAAGAATAAAATATCATTTGTATTTAATAATATTTTATAAATTGAAACTTTTTTTAAATATTGAATATTGAATAATATTTTTATAACATATATTTGAGATTTGTGTTCAGATGCTAAATCGTGTAGAAATAAACATGATAATAAAAGGTTGATAATTTTGATTTTAATAGTTGTTTTTAGTATTAATTATCTTTATCATTTTGAATTAATAAAGGTGTTAAATTGAGCAACCTCACCAAAGCTGATATGCTGAACCTTATGGTAAAGAAAGAAACTGAGATTCCAAACACAACCAGGTTCGTGGGACAAATGTTTGTATAGGCAACAAATTTCAAAGAAGAAAAGGGACTCCAAAAATAACAAGACCATTAAAAAAAAAACCTGTATTTATTGTCATATGGATGTTTATATCGTTGCTTATGAGTACATTGCTATTGAAAGAAAACTGCAGCAGATTAGAATATTTGTCTTTTTGCTCTGCAGTGGTGCACCCAGGGGGTTTTCAAGGTGCCTTTTTGTTCAGGTGTAAAATAAAAAAATCAATTAATGGAAATATTGGCAAAGTGATGGTGTAGTCATAGCCATTGATATGCTCCGTTCCAGGTTTTGCGCCTTGCGTACAGTTAAGTGGATGTAGTATTTCTATTCAGCACCACACCCATTACCAACTCCTGGATACGATACTGCTGTAAGATTTATCATTTTTTAAACACAGTATAATAAATATATAAATAACTTGTAATCAAATTCAACTTATCTTTTCAGTTGGACAAGTAAACTATTAATATACTGTAGGCGGTTCCTTGCTCTCTCAGCTCAAGGTATTTCTCAAGGACTTTCCGTGGCTGTATTTTTCCTGCAGTTTCTAGAATGGTGGTATGCCAGTGAAAATGAGCAATCCAGGGTTGCCTTAACCTCGCTCCCTACTCCTCTACCACCCTCATGTGTATGTAAATAATAGTTGTTTTATCATGAAATGTATCATTTTATTTCTCTTTGTATGGTTCATTTTTATGTATTGTATCTTTTATACTTTTAGGCTATGTTCACATACGCGGCGTAAGACTGGCGTAGCTTACGCCAGGCGTAAGCTAATTCACGGATTAAAATTCCAAAGTGTTCACACAAACGGCGTTCGCTATATTAACGCTGGCGTTAAACTAGTAGTAATATAGACCTATGGGTGAATAGTTTTAAATTTTAAATAATGTACGGGTTCTTAACTGTAGTAAAATTAACAGTGTATCAGTAAAACTTTCAAATCTGTGAATTGTTCGAAGTGAACTTATAAGATTATTGTATTTTAAATGAACAATTTTACTTTGATTTTTCAGCTAGCATTGTTGGTGTTGCAGGTTTTAATAGACAGTCTAAATAGGTTAAAATATCTTACAAAACAAGATCAACAAATCATATACATTATAGCTAAGTCAGATATGCAATAGAAAAAGAACCCCTTTACCATTTCATTTATAGAGAGCACAGGAAAGAGACCAAAGTAGCTAATATATTGCAATCGTGATTGGTCAATCTCTTGAAATGAGGTCAAATCATTCAAGCATCACTGGCGTTAGCTCAGTGGTGTTAGCTAATCTGGGGTCTGCAGGTAGCGTTAATAACAGCAAGGACGTGGCATAGTGAGTGGCTTTAACAACGCCACTGCCTAGTTCACACACAAAGGCGTACGCTACGCCATGCTTAAGCCAGCCTTACGCCGTGTGTGTGAACATAGCCTTAATAATTTTTGAAATAGAAATTCCAGCATTGGTATGTTCTATATATATTCGTATACCTGAAATAATTTAATAAATATATTTAATATCTAGGATCTCATTCAAATTGAGATAATAACACACATATCAAAACCAAACAATGTGTATGTAACTTTACAGGATAAAGAAAACATCATACAAGTGCACTAGTAGAATAATTAATTTACCCCACACGTATGTCTTATCAGTTGCATCCTAAATAGTATTACTGTACTAAATCTCAAAGAATTATGGCTACAGTTAACTGCTATGATCCTATGACCACTTGCAGTCTAGCGCCCTCAATTTTCTTTTAAAATGAAACTTTATAGTCATTTTGTTTTCACTGTTCTTTTTTAGATTAAAGATAAAAGTGTTAAGTTTGGAGGCGACATTTGCCCCATCTGTGAGAAACCAAGAACTAATGACACTGCCCTCTCTACTTCAGGGTAGGTATTACATAATTATGAAGTAGAAAACAAGATTCATTTTCTTTTATAAATTTACTTGTTTATATTAGATTGATTTATTGATTCAAGGAAGAATGCCTCAAATATACTAGTAAAGCATCATTTACACTAGACAAGATTACGACGACACGATACAGATGCGCGCAGTGTTGAAGAATACAAACTACGCGATGATGTGTCGTAATCGTGTCTAGTGTACATGTGGCTTAATAATGGTTTTTGTTATTCAACAGGTATGTTTTTTGTTATCCCTGTATCTATGCTTACATCAAGAAGCACCAGAGATGCCCAGTAACCAGGTATCCTACACTCCACCAACATCTCATCAAGCTCTACCCACCTGACTAACATTGTGTTCTATAGTATAAACCCGACTAACATAAATGTTGTACACACCTGTTGTAGTGTAGTGTTTTACAAAAACCTGACATAATGTTCTGCACACCTGAATACCGTTGGTAATAAAATACAATGATTAATAGGGAAAAGGATGATAAAGTCTAGAGAAACAACTACTATCGAAGTAGTTGTATAAACAAGGGGTTATCATTTATCACTGATTTAAGTTATTTTAATTCGTCCTTATCAACAGGAAAACATTTTGGTCAAACCAGAATTTCAAAATACTGAAGTAGGTCTGCCTCTACATAGCTTCTCAATCCTAATTTCCTTCTGCTACAATCGTGATTATATAATTTGGCTAATAGAAGGTTTTCAAGAGTAATTATATATAAATATTTATGTAAATACAAGAATTTTTAATCAATGAGTTGAATAAAGATACTGATGAAATACTGATGATAATTTTTGGTTTTTACGTGCCTGGGATCGTCTGTTCACAAAGATTGTATTGAATATTAGACATGAAATGGTTGCCTCAGACTGCTACCTTCATATGCAATAGGAATCCAAGCATTCGTACTTGTGTGGTTGCGTGTGTGTTTGTGTGGATGTGAGGAGCTTTTTTTTTTTGTTTTTTGAGAGGAGTGCTCACCAATCCACAGATCAACACTGCTGCTCATCAGATTCAAAACCCATGTTAATCAATATTATGTTCTAAGAAACACACATTGACAACCATAAAATATGGAAACTAACCAACAACAAAAAAAACCAGTACTTGGTAGAATAAGCGCAAATAAATATGACAAAATAGGAACTATACCTTCTAGAAACTGACTATTGGACTAACTATCTAAACAAAGAAAATGATCAGTAGCGAGTGACTTTTAACAGAAGGTTAAGGCAAGGAACATCAAAATCTGCCGAACAAGAATATTCAGAATGCTTTCTACGTTGTCTTGACCAGAACAAATAGCAATTATATGTACACTTGTAAATTGAGGAACCAGTAACATTTTTCCCAGGCTGTGTGTTCTTATATTTTTGTCAATTTCAGGCCCAAAATATTCTAATTTTGTTTTTATTCATAAAAAAAAGTTAAATATTTTTATTATTGCGTAAGAGGATTGATACTAGGAATGTTCCCTTTTTATCTTTCATTCAATAATGCATACCAAAAACGTTTGAAGGCTGATATAAATAGTCATAAATCACGGAATCTGTGACAAAAGACTTGTTTTTATAATAATAATCCAATTATTATGTTAAAAAAAACCTTTTAATTTGCTTCATGGTTAATTCTTGATGAGGGTTTGTTTTGATGTGTTGTTCAATTTTATGTACACCTTTCAATATGTACTTTTTGTATTTCTTTTCCCCTTTATGTCAGTTTTCATGAATAAATTGAGTTGAATAGAATTACTTTACATCACACTACTGCACATAAGGTACAGAAAAATCCAAGCGAATTTTACAGTCACTCATTTGGGACCTATGACGATGAATTCTTACATTTCACCTCAGCCTCAATTCATTCTTTTTTTTTTTAAAGCAATTTCATCCCGGTGTTCTTAAAAAATGTGGTTTGATAACAAATAGTGTAGCTGTTCTACAAGAGCATTAATTGCAAAAGTGGCCTATAGTTGCTAATAGAAAATCGGAATGACCCCAGATTACTACATTTTGAAAGATAAAAAAAATAACTGGAAAGCAATGAATTTCCTTTATAAATTAGACTAACAGACGTGATTTTCATAATAGTCTACTTGTGTGCCAGAAACTACTGATGACCTTTAAAAAGTAGGCCTATAAGTTGTAGTATTTTAAGATTTAAAAAAAATGCCAATAACTAAGCAGGAAGTGACAAACATCTGAATGATCTGCCAAGGTCTTTCAAATTATAAGAATAGACGTACTAAAGGGAAATAAACTGAGAGCGCACCGAGCACACACATACCGTGAGAGACAAGGAAGAGCGAAGATTATAAAATATTTTAGTTGTAAAGTAATAATAGATGCATTGTGTAAAACAAAAACTGATTATATAAAATAGGCTAAAGCAACAGTTATACTCAAAAAGAAACTCTGACGTGATGCAGGTATCTGTCTTTAGGAGTAGGCCTACTGTATAGGCCTATTTATGCCAGGTCATATCAATGGGAGTAGAAAATACCGAATTACGAAAATTGTATTTTAGGATTTTTCTTTAAAGGAATTAAGTTTTGTCTAAAACAACTATATACAAAACATTATGTTTTGACCGGGCCTTGAAAAAAGGAGAATGAAAATTAGGTCTATGACTACTTTTCATCACAATCGTCATGGTCACCACGTACAGTACCATATTTCATTGCGCAGGACTTGCGAATATGGAATCTTTCGTACCGGTAACTTTGCATTATTTTGCACTTAAAAATTATATATCTGTCTCTTATACACATCTAGATGTGTATAAGAGACAGATACTGTGGTTCAATTTCGTTTTTATCCTTTTGCAAGTTTCTTTAAATGTTTGTTTAATAATACTACTACTAATAGTAATAATAATATTCTGGAAAGTAATTAATAGTGTGAAATTTGCGTATGATGATGGAGAGCAGTGTGAGAGATGATTTGCTTGGAGGAAATTGGGTCATTGCCAACATTTTAATAATGGGACAGCGTTGCTAACGCGTACGATGTTTTGAACGTAGCGCACTAGCAAACACGAACAATGGACCCTCCTCTTTGGCTAACGCTCCATCTCTCTGGGGCGGGCTAAACAAAGACATTCTAGTTGAAACTCTATCGCGGGATTTCTCAACAGTTATTAGGCTGTTACTGATTCTGTCAGCTCACCGTCATCTTATTTTTGAACAGAAGTGAAGACATCTCTCTCTATTTTTATCAATTAAAATGATGCTTGTGCAAATCGGACGGAGCAAGTTATCGAGGCACCATCAACGAAGATTACGGTAAGGAGGAGGAGCGACCAAGTCAGAAATTTCTGTACAGTAAATAAATTAAGGCATCATGAAAGTATGACAGCTCATGTGCAACGAATTGTTTTCTCTCTGTGAAATGTTTTATATTGCGAAACAATAACTTCGTTAATACTACAATTTTCCTGTTTTGGAAAAGCATCTCTGTAAAGCAAAATAGATTGTTTTCCTAGGCCTACGTTACTGCTGCAGCTAGGCTTAGGCTAGGCTCTTGGCTTTAATCTAATAATTAATAAAAATATATAAAATCGGTGCCTCGGCCAGGCAGTACATTTTCCAAAAATTCGCAGAGTGGACAGGCATAGCCTAGCCTCGGTTTTATATCACGTACTGCAGAGTATTTTCCAATTGTTAATAATAATAATTTTGATAGTGATAGTAAGTAGGCCTATTAATTTGTAATTGTAATTTTAATGGATTTTGTATGATGATTGTAACTTTTTTGATGTGTTTCTCTCGAGGTTTGGCTTTCATGTGTGAATTTTCTGTGAAGTCTTTATATTTTAAATGTTTGTATGTTAATCTTATTTATCGATTTATTAATTATAATATTTTTATTGAATAATTGTAATTTTGATTAGAATAATTTTGGATTCTGTACGATTTTAATACTTATGATGTTGTTTTGTAAATTCTCTCATAATTTAATTTATTTTGCAATGAGTTATAAGACCAGAAATGAAAAAAAATATGTTATCAAATTCAAATTTATTCAACAACCTCCAGACCCAAGAAGTAGGAGAACATACAAAACTAAATAGTTTAAGTACGTAGGCCTAGGCCTATACATATCGAAATAAAGAATAAGAAATGGCAAAATATCAATAAAACGGACACGAAAATATACAATAGACGGAATAATCCTTAAAAAAAAGGTCCGGTATCGGTAATATTTGTCACTAAAAATATATATTGATTTGCCGATCCAAACAACGTTTATTTTAATTGCCAATCACTTATATTGTGAACTAAAACCACAGTTTTGGGCCGTCAACCCTGTCCGAGGCTCAGTTCTGACCCCCTTTTGGCAAAATTCTGAAGCCGTGGCGCGGCTAGACTGTTGGGGAAAACAAACAAACAAAAGACATCTGTACCTTGCCACTATAAAGTGCATAACTAATGAATATTATTATTATTATTATTATTACTATTATTATTATTATTAAATTACCCATGAATTAAAAATAAATAGAAATTTCCGCCTCAATCAAATATAAAATACCAATTATAAAAGTACTTATTTATTGCATGGAAAATAGGCTTTAAAAAGTATGTAATTGGCAAAAACTGATTCGATCCGTGCCTCAATATCAATGTTGATCATGACTTTTCAAATAAGCAATTCATGTTTTAATTACATTTTTAGGGGTTTTCCCGAGTTTACAAAGACTGCCAGTAAGACCTTTAGTGGGCCTTTTGGCTTCTTTTACAAAGATAGAGAATACGCCACTCTAGAAAGTCATATTAGAAATACATTATTACAATTAATCATTTTATTTCTACCGTAGGATTCTGCAATTCGAATCCAATATTCATAATACGTAAATATATTCGGGAGGTGATATGGATGGATTTGATTTAGCAGTCCTTGGATTACCAATGGCTGCATTTGGAGTTCGTGTCGTCACAGACTACCTTGGTGAAATCCTGGTTACGACTGACGACGATATTGTGAATTTAGATGCATCGACAAGCGGAACTGCCGTCGATGAGTTGGTTGCTACGGAAATACACGCCTCTATTATAGATAACGAAGTTTCGAAAACTATACAGAAACTATCAAATGATGGCTATGAAAATAAATGGAGTTGTGCTAAATTTCTGATTAAAAACATAGATCCAAAGTGTGCATGTGAATGCAGAATAAAACAGAACGTTTCCGACAGCACTGAAACATATCACACAGCTGAGGTATCTGAAGGGAATCAAGTGACGACCAATGACGACGACACCGTGGCACCTGGAGTAGATGGATTATCAGTTTCTACAGAAACTGAAGTTAGCGAGGACGTGTACGAGGCGGACGACGAGTCAGGGTATGAAATATCGGTAAACGACGGATCTGACGACGAGTCAATTACATCTGAAAAGTTCTTCTCAATGATTAACTGCCGTGCTCGTGAAGTTACCAAAACGAACGGTAATTCCCCGAGAAAGCATATTTCATCCAAAGAATTCAGGCCTATTCAAAAACTATCGACACGTGTGAATTCATGTAACAAAGACGGTGTTTGTGACATGGATCCTACGATAGTACTCGAAGAAAAGGGGGTTTACCAAAATACAAAAGAGATTGATCAGATAAAACGCACGCAGGTAAACTATATTTTCCCTGAAAGGCGCGACGGACAAGGACGTAACAACTATTGTTTTTATAATAATAATATTAACGATCGTCCTCGAGAAAAGGCCACTTTAAACGATTCATTAGGAAAACACCAGCTTGACCAATCAAGACAGGAAAGTCTACAAAGTGAAGGGCGGATAGACCAACATGCACGTAATGTGAACACAGACATTGTCAATATTAATTCAGTATCGGAATCTGAGTTGAATGAGCATTATGACTCTTTAGATCACTCAAGGCTGACGACTAATCCACTGTCATCCACCAGTTCCGGCAACAATAACGCAAAAGCAAATTCACTGTCTGATGATAGTTGTACTCAGTTAACGACAGAATATACAACGCATAATTCATCGTGGGTACCAGTTAAATCAACAGTTGAAGACAATTCAGAGGCTGTCATTAGACCTACAGGTAAACAATATCACTCGGAATCAACCAGCAGTCCAATAGATCGACAGTCAATTGATAACGGATCCGAAATGAAGGTTATAACCGACTCATCGGCAGTGATTGACATCCCAGAAACGCCGAAATCACCAACACGACAGTACACAGTCGCATGTCCCGTCATCGAACAGACATCTCCCAAAGGGAAGAGATGGATGAAGAGAATGTCACTGGAGATCTCGTTCGTTGACACTCCTCCACTACCTCTCACTTCTCCAGATGCTCCCGACGGTCCCGACTTTAAATGCAATGACAGCACTGAAAATACTTTACCAGAAACGTAAGTTCGCCCATATCTCAAATACAATTTAGTTTGTACTGTACTGTAGTTAGTACTTTGAAAAAAATTACTTGGTACTCTAGAACAATATAAAAGAAATCACAGCAACACTTTTAAGACTAACTGGTATAAAATTTAATCTCTATTTGGTACTTTAGAAACGTCACTGTGATATTGTCCAGTATAGCTAGCTAGTAATAATAATAATAATAATAATAATAACAATAATAATAATAGTAATAATAATAATAAGAATAATAATAAAGACGATTAATGCGCGCATCTCCACCTAGGGTGCTCATGTTTTGCTTCTTTATTTTAAATAATATTCTTAATATATGTATGTTCATCCCGTAATGTGTTTACACTGTTGGATATTTGAATAAAATACAAAATAATAATGTTTCCAAGTTTATCCCTACATGAAAAACACATAAATTACTAACAGATGCGTCCTTGTACGACGATTAAAAGTGCGCTATAAAACGTAACATTCAATAAAAATTTCAAGATTCATTTAGTAATTGCCAAGTACAATTTAATGTGTTAACAGTGTAAAAGGTGCCACTAAAGCTACTACGAGTAGGAGAACGGGCGACGAAAGTTCGACTACAACTCGTCGACAAGAACACGCCAGGCCGCACCCCAGAGGACGATTTATGTATCAATTTGCCGTACCACGTGCGCATATACGCAGTGTCATTGGCGATCAGGTATGATAGGTGAAACTTTATTATGTGTATTACAGTATCGATTCAATAACATCAAACTATTTTTCGTTATGAAATCGTGAATGTATTTTTAGGTTTTCAGTCACCAGCGAGGCTGTCGTTAGTGGTCTGCCAAGATATGTTAAACTGCGATTTGATAACACGATTCGTCTTAATCATTTGGCTTAAATATTGAATTTAACATTAATATTCAATGACGGGCATTTACTGTTAATGATTCTATATTTAGGCGCGGGTGATTCGCCGATTACGACAACGAACGTGCGCTACGATTTCCGTAAATTATCCACGAGGTTTTGACGGCTGTACATGTACAATAGAAGGTATGGTATTGTCATAACACACTCGATAATTTTGTCAAGCCTAAGAGGCCCTTGTTTATCGTTCGATGTTATTGTTAAAATCAATCAGTATGCCTACATGAAATACAAATACAGAAATTTCTCTGCAGACATCCAGCTGCCAACGACCAAATGTCATTGCCATTAGTCAACACAATATAAACGAAATTTGTCATGATATAGCATTTTATAATGAGAGAGGTTAACTTCTGGAGAATAAATGACATATTTCAACACATCTTATTGAAATAATTCTGACGGAGAACATGTTATTTTATTTTTATTTATTCATTCTGAAATGACAGCATATAAATTATGTACCCGTGGTTCAGTGATGGCGCCAGGACCTTAAGTGCAAACACTATTGACGAAACAAAGTGAACAAACAGTAGGCATACAGAGACAAAACTTGGCGGCACATATGCCTATATGGCCTATTATAGCCTGCTCATTTTCGAAACATCTCCAAGCTTTTTTCCTGTAAAGTTGTTAGTACACATGACCCATCCTTATCTTTCTAATCTAGCTCGACACAGCAACTCTGACTCTTACCATGGAGGTATAAACATTGTTATACCGCCATATTTTTATACCTTCATGCTCTTACTAATAGACATTTCCTTTCCTGTGTAGTTCAGACTGTTAGCTTCAGTAACTTATTGTAATCTGTAATTGCCACTCAAATTGTCTACACATAATATAAACAAAAGTTGTCATATACAACTCGATAGTGTGGAGAGCGAGAGGAGATTAAATTCCGGAAATCAATGTTATCAATACATTACTGTACACGTTTCTTCAAAGTTGAATACCGTTTTTATACCTTTATCATCAAAGGTACTTACAGTCAAGTTCTAGGTGCAGTTCTCATCTTACGGCAGAACTTCCCACAACTGGAATGGAGCCAAGATGAACCGGCAGACCAAACAGCAGGGACATGATCAACCAGCAGAGAAAACGCCGGGAACGTGAATTTTCAGGAAATTTCGAAAAAATAGTAACATTTTTCTTAACGATTATTCAGTTTATTTTATAACATATCACAGTAAAGTTAATGTATTTATGAAAAAAAATCAAATGTTTCATTTTGTACATAAATTTTAAGTACAGTAATTTATAGTTTGTTTTAGCATCAAAACAAGACAATTTTTTTTTCATTCTGCATAGACAGTACTGTAAATAGATTAAATTCAAAGTATTTAAACTAAAAATGTTGACACGAGTTTCGAATAGTTTTAGATTTTCAAAGTCATTTAGATTTTAAAAGCCAAGGCAATATCATCAATATATCCGAGATAGCTTGATTGTTATGTTGAAACTTTCTTGTCAATTATGATATTATTGTATGTAGTTACATTATATAAAGTGTTACAGTACTACTGTATGTTGTTGATCTATATATTTGGCATGAAAAAAACAATGATATACAGTATCCCACTAAGTTCGAGGACTTGGTTTTAGTAGGGTCTTTTTTGTGGTTAATTAGCAGTACAGTGCACCAGGAGACAATCCCCTACACTTTTCCAAAAAGCATACTGCATTCTTTAACACACAGGGACCAACAGCTTAAACCTTTCAAGCAAAAGACATAGTTACCAACCTGAGAGATTTTAAGTGCACGAGTGACTACACCAGTTTTCAGACAGTGTTTGTTGACAATACTAAGTACATAAACATAAGTATTTTTAATAAAGCCTGTGAAATTTGAGTTTGAATGCATGTTTAATTTTCTAATGACTCATAATAAAACCAATTTCTTCTATAAGGAAGTATACTCCAATTATTGAAATGCACGCTATTGTGTTTTTTTCTAATTTTAAATACATTTTCCCCTTAATTTGTGACAATACGTTATCACGCATAGACTTGTGCTAAATACATGACAAATTTATGATCATGCATGTGTTTCTGCAAAATGCGTGTTTCATCCAAAATCACGATGTGAGACAGTTAGTAACTATGGAAAGACAATGGCTATTGTAACTTGAATTTCAGCCTCCAGCAGCTAAAAAACTAGGAGAGCATGCTTTCCTCCCTTCCATTGGGAAACAGATATTTGATAGTCTGGTCTGGGAAAGTTATCTCTTTTGTTCCATCAGGATAATGCTTCTCTGTTTGGTTGCTGTTAAGGTGAAATTTAAGTTGAATTAATCACAAAGTTGTGATTTGAAAAATGCACAAAATCATAATTTCTTGTGATTTTGTACAATTTATTGAACCAATACTTTGTTCATTGTAGAACCATAGACTTACGGCTGATAGTTCTGAGAAGTTACACCTAGACGATAACATACAAATTACCATGGCAAAGGCAATAAAAAGTACTGTCCCAGTGCCAGCCATATGCTGGGGTGGCCTGAAGTGGGTGTGGTCGGGTGTTGCTCAAAATGTGTTGAAAGTGGTACAGGGAAAATATGACAATTTAGGGGTTTCAGAGGCTTATTTAATCAATTTTATAGATAGGTCTACTAATATGTAGAAAATATATATCATATTTTTTTCTCCTCTACGAATTGTGGTTTTTCTTCTTTTTCCGGGGGGGGGGGGGGGAAGAAAATTATCTGGGGGTGTGCAAATTCCCCCAGGCCCCGCTGGCGCCGCCACTGCCGCCAATTTATTAGACAAACCATTTTTATGATATATGACTAGGTAAAATTCCGAAAAAGTATGTTTGTAAAAAAAGGTCTGGCAGTCAACGTGTTAAACAATAGAACAAATATAATATAACTCATGTAAAAAGTTTTCCAGCAGTCTGACAAAATAATAAATAAAACTTACTTTGCAAACTGTAGTATCTCAAGTCCATCTTGGTAAGTTGTGTGAGTCGTTTGTGTCTCTTGATAATAATATACCTACAGTAATTTGAATTACAAATGGAGTTTGAGATCAAGTACCATAATATATCATTAATATTATTATGCATTTGACAATTATACAAGTTACGTGGTAGAATTATATTAATAAAAATATCAATATTAATAAAATGTACAAAGTCCTAAAATACAGAAGGAAGATTAAGAAAAACTAAAAGAAATTAAAATAGATATCTATGCTTGAATAATTATGAAATAAAATAATAATAATAAAATCATCAGATAAAACTGCGACTTACAACACGTTGGTCTGGGAGTATCTGCTTGATATCTCCATTAAAGAATGTCACTGTAATTGTTTCACCATCGCTGCTTATGTCCTTTCGTGTTCCATTCTTAAACAGAATCACTCTTGACCCGTCCTTGTTAACATGTTCAACCTAAGTTGAGAAGATGGTGTGATTATGAATTTTGATCAAATACATCTGTCAATTTCACGAATAAATGGATGTCATTGCCATCTTTGCCATCATTGTCGTTGTCATCATCATCACCATCATCATCATCTCATGATCATCTTCTCCAGAATTACTGTCTCCATCGACATCATCATAATTTTGCCATCATGCGTTTCAGTTTAATACTTCTATGTAAATAGGCCAGTCAAATGGCCAAGCAGTAAAGGCAGGAGCGATGCAATCTACAGCCATAATATCAGTGCTGGTTCGAGCGGCACGTTGGCCTATTGGCTCATGTACACTTCAAAGAACCCAGTACATACTTTGAGATGAGTAGAGGGTTACTCCAGTCTCTGTTGTGGACAGACAAGGGTAGCTGGCACCAGTTTACCAGGTAGCTCACAAACTGACCCTTAGGGAAGGAGAAAGTTTCTGTACGATCTAGCCCGCACCTCAAGCTCCTTGTGACCTTGGTGTAAAGTGCTTTAAATTAATACTGTACAATCTGATTATGTAGTATGTCTAGCAATAAGTCACAAAAGGTTTATTTTATGTTGAGTTTATAAGCATTTTCTGAATTGTGTTTTTATGATTTGTACAACCTTAGTTCATAACAGTGCTTACCTTGCCATCTGGATGCTGAATACTGTTCTCTGTTTCATCATCTCCAACTCTCTTTTCATCTTCTTTATTGTTCACTTCATTATCCATCAGAGGATGTGACATAGGGGAACTGCCCCATTCACTTGGCCTAGGTTGATATTCAGCTGGTATGGACTGTGATCTTTCTTTGTCTTTATTAGTTGGTGTTACATGTTTGCTATGCATTTGTTGAACATAATGACTTGGTGTGCCTTCCTTCATTGATCTTAATAAATATTTGAAAAATATTCAAATGTACATTATTCAGTATCAGCAAAAATTTAGCTGCTTGTAAAAATGACAAATAATGAAGAATGGCAAAATGTAAGTACTGTATACTAAGTTATTTTTAAATCTAAAATTTCAAAGTTGATCAGTTTACCAACTCAAAAGTACTTATTTAACACTAGTATATTGTATATATGCAAGTTGATAACAAGATATATAAGGGATGCATGAACACAAAAGGGTGCTAAAGGATAGTTCAAGAACAAATGCAACAGCTGCAGAAGGAAAATAATAAGAGTTTCTAAAAGAAACCGAAGAATAAAGGCCAACTCAGACAGCGTTGTACGACGCAGCCCGACGCGGTTCATCGTCAGGGACAGTCTTAAGCCATCGTGAGAAATATTAAACATGTTTCATATTCTACGACGTGATTACTCCCGACGCAAATTATCATGTCTGCGTTTAACTCACACGAATGCAATGCGACAGCAAATCGTATCGGGTTGCATCGTACGACGCTGTCTGAGTTGGTCTTAACAGACAAGGATTTCAGGACAGAATGTTGCTAGATTATTTCAAACATACAACAGACACATTTTATAATGTAATAAATAATAACAATAAATAAAAACTATAATAAATAATAACAATAATAATAATAATAATATAGAAAGGTAAATACAATAAGTACAGTATTTTCAGGCTACATAGCTATATACATAACATGCAATTGTATTAAGCTTACAATGCACCAACAATAGAAAACAATGAAAATTGAAGGTTGAGATATATGCACTGTACATGCTGACAAATCATATACAGAATGCTTTTAATTATCAAAGATACTCAACATACCAGTTCCTGTGTCTGTCATGTAAGGGAAAATATGTTTAATATTTTTATCAAAAGCAACCAATTATTAAAATGATAACTCAATCAAATAATTTATCAATATCAATCAAGTACAGTAATTAATCATCCAATTAAGTAATCGATCAAATAATAAATCAATAAAGTAATTAAATAATCATGTAGATAACCCATCAAATAATTCATTTAATGAAATCATTATTCAATAAGTCATGTAACCAATCAATTCAATAAACCTTATTAAAAAATTAAGCTGCTGTAAATCAAAGTAAAACTTTAAAATCATTTATTCTAAGATTATATTGTGAGATATTCAGTTTTGAAGCTTTTCAATGACAGGTGTCAACCACAAATCATTTATCATGATCAATTAACAACATGTCACTCACCTGTTATTCTTTTCAGAATCCGCAGTTTCCCTATCACCAGTCTGATGGCTAAGGTGAGCAGCTTGCTGCCATGGGGACTCCATAGGGGCAGTGGCCTGTGTTGTTGGCACATACACCTCGGGTAGGGGTTGAAATGATAGTCTAGTTATATCTTCAGATTTCTTTTTCTTTAAAATTTTCTGTAAAAATACATATATAAAATGAAAATTCCCCAATTAGGCCGCACTCTTCAGCAGATGCTTTACTTAATATTTGTAATTTATTTGTAAAAGACTGAATACCAAATAATATAGCAACTGAACTTAATAAATGTGAGATAGTATAATACATACTCCAAGTATCGAAATGCACGCCATTGTGCATTTCAATACTTGGAGTATGTATTATACTATCTTATCTGAGATTAATCAGTGGACCTTTCGGCAAAAAATGCGAGCCCTAAAAAAGTAGCATATGCGACTAACCAACCTTAGAATCATTATCTTTCTTTAAACTTTCCAATCTTTTCTGCTCCATGACTTTAATTTCATCTCTTAGCTGGTTGTTTTCTGTTTCTAGTACTTCGATACGCTTGCGCAATCTGCCTGAGCTTGCAGTCCATCGCCTTTCCTTGTTGCTTAGTTCCTCTTGAAGTTCACTTAACTACAAAGAACGAGAGAATAAAACATTTTGAAATTGAAAAATGTGATGAAAAAAAAATATTACAGATAAAAGAACAGAAGATCTATTGAGCAAATTTATTTTCTTATACTTTTAAAGTTCAAAAAGGATACAATGTGGGATATTCTAGAACAGCTGCATTTTTTAAAACCATATTTATAGACAGTGAACCTTTCAACGTATCATAGAAGGTCGGCTGATATTCTGGGTCCCTCTTAAATAAATGAAATAATGTGATGCATTTATAAGCCAAGTCTCTTTATGAGGCTTAGGGAGTGGAGTTGTTTTTAGTCATGAGTAAGAGTCCTGACTGTCACAGGATTTGAACCCAGGACCCAGGGATTAGAAGACAGGCATCTTAACTAAGTTATTCAACTTCACTTTCTGCAATACATTAAAATTATCAGCAAAATAATTAATGACAATCAAAAAATTAAAAGTGGCAAAAACCAAACTGTTCAATCTGTCCCCTTAAAAGCTGATAATTTATCTGATCTATTTACATACTCAATAATCAAATATTTAAAGGTTTCAAATTTTACTGTAATATCTTCATACTTATAATAAATCCTTGTTATTATCATTATCATTAATCTTTCAGTTTTATTTCTTTTATTTTTACCTGATCTTTCAAGCTTTCTATTTCTTCTCTACCTTTCTTATCTGGCATAGTCTTCATAGCCTGCTGATATTTCTCAAAATTACGCCTTTCTTTCCTTAAAAGAAAACAAAACTTTTGTATTTTAAACAGTAAACTAATTAACTTCTTCCATGTCAAATCGGATTTACAGTGGCGATGTAACTAGGTGGTTAAGGTGCTTGACTTCCAATTCAAGGGTCCTGGGTTCAACTCCTGTGACAGCGCAGGATTTTCCTCACAGCTCCACTACCTAGGCCTCGAAACGAGACTTGGTTTAAGAGACATCTTGTTATTTTGTTTATTTAAGAGGGCCAATGAACATCAGCTAAGCTGGAAAGGTCATCCTCTATAAACATGGTGAAAAAAGAAAACACAAGAAATGAAAAACTCCACTTCCAGCTTCTTAATTAGTAAGATTCATGTTAACAAATTCCCAGCTAGACAGATACCTCAAAATATGATTGTGATGGTTTTTACTAACTTCAATTTCTTCATTTCTTCTTTTTTGAACTCTTCTAAACTCTTGAGTTCTTCAGTTTTCTGTTTTTCAAATGTTGCAACCTCATTCTTCAGCACCTTAAGGTCCTGGCAATAGATGTCAATAAATTAAAAATATTATAAGATATTATTATTATTATATTATAGATATTATTATTATTATTATTATTGATATTCTGATTAAAGTTTGACATGACTTTAACATGAGTTTAAATTATTTGTGTTGTGATGATGATTAAGATAATGATAAATATTACAATGATGATAATGATTAATGATTATAATAATGATGATTATGATGATGATGATGATTATGATAATGATGATGAAAATAACATGACCAAAATCATGGGAAGACATTTTCCTAACTTTCTCTCGCTCGGTTCTGAGTTGAGCAAGGGCAGCATTCTCCCGGCGGAATCGTTCTATTTCTGTCTCAAGTTCAGAGAGCTTATCACGTAAAAGTTTAGACTGCACTCCTTGGCCCAAAGGAATTTGATGAGCTTGCTGCAACTGTGCCTGTTGACGGATCTAAAGTCAATTAATTTGAAATATTTATAAATACAAAATCTGATATAATAAAAAGTTAACACATAAATTATTATAAACTTGAAAAATCAACCAGCTTTGTATTATATTCTTAGGGTCAAACGATAGCGATTAAAGTGATATCATTTTCAAGAGAAAGTGGTTGCATGGTTTTTACCTGTTCTTCAGGTGTATGTTTCACTAATGTTGGAAACAGTTGTGATGATAGTTCAGCTGTAGAGGGTGCACTTTCTTGATTCCTGGTATCACCATGTAAGCTAGACTGATGACCTTGGGGTATGTTCTTAAAACTCACAGCAATGGGATCTATTGGTAATAAATGTGAAGATACAACACTATTTTAAAAACAAAGAATGCAACATAATCTATCATTTACCTAAAGCATATAAACACATAAAAAATACATTCTCGTTCTTATACAATAGTTGAATTGCTTTGGTTTGCTCTATTTAATATCATCACAGACAAAATAACATGAATAAACCATAAAAAGTTGAAATTACAGAGTCATTTGTTTTTTATATCTGGTATGGCCCTTACAGTTCTGGTAATTATTTACCACAAATTTAAAAAAGTATACATGAATATTAAGAATATTTCAGTGAGCCTTGCAAAAATAAATAAATAAATATAACACCTTCTGAGATGATAGCACATGAGAGTGTAGTGATGAAGTAGTAAAGGTTACAGAAGAAATGTTTAAAGACATGGAATGGCCATCTTACTGTTTTTGTTTGTAACAATATTTGCTCCAATGACTGGGGCTCCAGCAATTATGCTTTCATCATCGCTACTTGATTCCTCAGCAGCAAACTCACCCCAGCTTTCATCATCATCAAAGTCTATATCAAGAGCATGTGATGATGTTGCAACTTTCTTTGAAGTTTCCTCATCTTCCTCATCACCGTTCATTTCTATAAATTCCCTACTTTGTCTCAATCCTGCTGAAAACTTTTTCATCTTTGGAGTAAATTTTTCTGTTTCTGATTCATCATCTTCCTCTAAAGTATCATTACTCTCATTATCATCTTCATCTTCTTCTTCAGTTGGACTGCCTCCCATCCTCCTAGTTTCTTTCACATCTATTTCTTCATTTTCCCTTCTTGTAATTTTATCTATCTCCTTCATCTTGAATTGATAAGCAACTTGATTAACATCTCCATTTCGATGTTGCAGAATGTCTTCTGGTGCAACATCAATGGCAGGAGCTCTAGGATCTCGACCATTTCTTACATCCCTCAGTTCTCTTTGGGATTCCTCAATTAATTTCTGTAGAAGAAAATACTGCTATCAAGGTAAACGTCAAAGTAAAAGGGCTACCACATAATGGAACAGTTAGCTCCTTATTAGTGGCATTGTGGTGAATTATCCAGTTGCCAGAGCCAATTCCAAACCAATTTTACTGTTTTACTTTTGATATTTTAATGTGTTTTTTTTATCCTTTTATATGAATTGTATATTTCAAGACATATATTTGTTTTGTAATCAGTTTATAGTGAACCTTGAAACCAAATACAAAATGGCTGCTGGAGAGGATGTCAACTTTCAGGTCATAAACTCGATGCTTACCTGTCTCTTTAGAGCAGCTCTTTTCATGACATTAACAACCAATGACGCATTGCTTGAAAATGAGGCATTGTCATCTGCTGCTTGTTCTAAAGTTTCAAATTCATCTAGGTCCTCCTTTTCTTCCTGTTAATAAATAAAACAAACAAATTAAATTTGTAATGTTAGGCCCATAACTTAGGAGGTATCTAGAATAGCTGGAGATCAAGGTGTCTTAAAGAAGAGCTCTTTTTGGTTCCCCCCTAACAATCTCCCATGGCACATCCTACTATCCCCATGTCAGTCCTCATAGTTATGCCACTGTTGAAAATGCATTCGAGTATCAGCAGAACATTGGATAAGATCATAAAATATTATCTAGTTTTCTGATAGTTTCTCTATTTCAGTGCTTCCTGTTCTCGATCATCTCTGCATTTCTTTGATGTTCAGACAATGTTATGTCTATATCTTGTTAATTTCTGTTTCCATCTGTCACAGCTGCAAAGTGCATAATTCAAGAGTAGGTTGTGGACGGCTGTAGCAAATGGCTGTTTAAACAGTATCTATTCTGGGTTTATCTTAAAAGAACAACAAAACAATATAAGAAATAATATTCAAAAACACATGAGAGAAAAATTACCTCCACTCTAACTTGCCATTCTTGAACTTTATTCTGAAAAGACACCTCCAGTGTATCATTGAAAATTGGTAAAGACTGCTTTGACTGACCCTTATCTGTGATAGACTGTTCCTCCATATGTGCCTTGGCTTCATAATGGTTGTGTGACTGTATTGTCCGGAGGGCGCTATTTGAAGTCCCATCTTGTGCAGTCACAACAGTTGTCTTGGTAATTGCACTATTTTTTGATTTTGGTTGAGGTTTTAACACAAGTTTATTTGAAGCAGTCAGTGGTGACTTCCTTACTGAAGTTGTTTTTACAGCAACCTTTCTTGATATCTAAAATAAAAGTATTTAAACTTCAGAATGAAATACACGTAAAAATAAATGTAACAACAATAAGGGAAAAATGACAACTAACTAATTTCTGGTTTTCACAATTATTCCTTTACCAATTTTAAAGATATTTTTTTTTAGAAAAATCTGTCAAGAAGATTGTCAATTCATAAACGTTTGATAAACACCACTTGCATATACAGTACCCTTAAACTTCTGCCAGCATATTTTAGTAAAACGTCAAAATCAAATCGATTTTCAGAAAGTTATTATTTAAGCAAATGAGAATTTCAAATTTTTATTTTTGGGATTTCTTTTAAAGATTAAATATTTTTGTATCCATTATTATAATGTTTGTAGATTTCTGATGTTAAGTGAAATAAAACTTTTAAAAATATAAAATTAAAAAAAGGATTGTTTTTTATACGTTCACCTGATTTGTCTGCAGATCATCTATTTTACTTTTGCTCTTTTTTGTTGGATTGTTTCCACCTTTCCGGGATTCTCCTGGTTTCTTGCCTAATCCTTCACTTGTTTTTTTCTTTAGACGAAATTTCTTCATCCCAAATCTTGAGATTCCTTGGCCTCTCTTTAAGAAAGTTCTCTTTGTTTGAGTTTCACTAATTTGTGGTTTTGAGTTGGGTGAAGTTTCTCGCTGGGCATCTAACTTTAGTTGTTGCTCTAAAAGTTCTTCAAATTGTTTGCCTTTTCCAGCAACAGGTTGGTTATCAAAATCCACAATAGTATTATCATTTTGGCCTGTTCCAACAGGCTCGTCATGAATGTCACATTCGTTATTCTTAATGCTTAAATCTCCACTCTCATCATCTGCAGTTTCAAACTTTTCATCCTCTTCCTTTCCATTCTTCTCTTCAAAATGTATCATTTTCTGTCCATCCTCTGCATCTTGGTGGCAGATCTCAAAAGATGTTTCAGGAAGGGGGAAAAACCCATCATCAATATCTGAATTAGTAGCCTCTCCTGTGGAATCTAAATCAGTCAGCAGATTGTCTCGTGGAGAAGAGATTGTCTGTAGTAGATTGTGTATCATGTGTGGCTGCATTGTTTGGCTGAAGGATACAATTCCAGCAGGCTGCTGCACACCATTAGATGGACAGAGGCCCGAGGTCAAGTTTGGTCCACACGTCTGTTGCTTTCCAGGTGATAATACATTAATACCTGTAAATAAATATTGTGAAATATAAATAACAAAATAGTCTGTATACTGTACATATTGGCAAATGCTATATGCAGGGGTCCAAAGTTGGAAGAAGTCATTTCCGGAAGTTCTGTTTCAACAAGTTTTCTAAGGCCACCTTATTTTGTTTTGCTACTTATATTATGGCGATACCAATCGACATTGACTTCCATGAGACAAATGATGATAAAGGGGTAATACAGTAGTAAATACATGCAGATTTAATGAATTTGTGGTAGATGGTTTATTTTCCGGGAGATTCGTGTCCGGTTGCGGAAGTGCGGAAGGCCTTCAAGATTTCTGGGAGACTCCTGTGACATGCCGGAGACTTGGGACTCCTGTAGATGTCATCAGTCATTGACATTACACTGGCTAACACTTTGATCTCATGAACCATTGAAGTGTCTACAAGTTGTTAATGCAGCTGATGTATTGTGGTGTAATACAGCTAGCTGTGCCTGATGTCTAGAAAGGTGCACGATTGGTCCAGGCATTAAATAACAATTAAAAGCTTGGTAGTAGCAGATGTTTATTAATCAGTGTTCTCTCACCACATGTACTTCTCTTGACAGCGAATTTGCAACGCGATCATGTTTGTGTTAGGCAATAGGCACTATGTTGAATTTTTGGTTGTTTTTTTTTATAATAAACAACGTTTTTAACATGAGAATACTACTTTACAATGAAGACAAGTAAGTTTAGATAAGTGTTAGTCAATCTAGGCAGCCTACGTGGCCGATGTTTTGTTTAGCTATCTAGCTAAGCCTAGCTTAGGCCAAGCAGTTTGAAGCTAACGTTCGACATAGACACGCGTGGACCACGGGAGTAATTTGCGAGTGATAAGCTAATGAATATAACTAATGACTAAGTGACCTATTTGATGCATGCTCCATGAACCTGCTTTTTGGGCCGTTGTCCTGTTGGAAACGATGACTCACTGGGAAAACACGTTGTATGAAAGGCAGGAGAGTCCCTTCTAATATTTCTTTCACGTAAAACTCTGCATTCATGTTTTCCGCCAAATACCAATACATTAGTACCACCTCTCAGACTAATAACAGCCCACACATGTACCTTAACAGGATGCTTCGCCTTCGGTTTGAGTTTTGGTTCTTCGCAAATTTTGTGAAACGAGATTTTTCCGTGCTGTTCCAAATGAATGCTTGTCTCATTCGTCCAAATAACCTCTTTGAAGCGATCTCCGTCATTTAACACTTTGGTGCAGAATTCCATGCATTTTACTTTGTTGACTTCCCAAATCATTTGGCAGTACCTCGGTCCGTTCTTTTTCCACCCAGCTTTCTTCCGAGCTCTCCTTATCGCAGCTGCTGACACAGTAACACCAAGCGACTCCTGAGATATGTTGGTAATTTTATGAGATGTCAACTCGTCGTCTTCCCTGTACAAGTCATCAATGAGGTGTATATGGTCAACAGTTAGTTTGGGCTTACCACCTGGCCTTGGTTTCGGGCCCCAGGAACCAGTCTCCTTGTATTTTCTAAAAATAATACTTGCTACTGTGTGACGATAATTGTACATCTTCCTTACTTAGAAGGTCAATTACATACTGTAATTGACAAACATAACAATAATTTTTTGTACCTAAAAGTCGATACTCCCTTTACTTGAGCCGGCGTCGCCACCTTAACAGTGCACGGTAGTAGAGCCAAGGCTTATCCAAGGTGGAAGCTACTGGAGCCCAGCAAACTGTCGCCGGGGTACCGCACGTACATGGTTGCGGCGGCGACTCAACATTGGGAGTGCGCATTTCTCTTCCCTTTCATGTTTCGCGGTTTGTTTTTTGCCAATTTTTTTTCCAATCTGACTTCGGGTCTGTACACTTTCAGTGCCTTTAGGCGATTTTATTGTGGAAGGCACTCCACAAATATCCTAGCATTACCATTATACAAGCTCACTCACCGCCTCCCCACTGTTTGTGACGTTGGGCAGCAAGCATACTTTGGACTCTCTGTTGTTCACTTCGTAACACATCCAACTGCTGCTGTTGTTGATATATCAATTTCTCCTGTTGTTGTTTTTGCCAATCCTTCAATTGTTTGAAGCGTTGTAAAAGCTTTGCTTGTTCCTTACTCTGCTTCTGGTCAAGAAGATCCATACTTATATCTGTGCCAAAGATCACAATATATTATACTACTTATTATTACACATCTAGATGTGTATAACAGTAAAGAAACTCAAATACGTAAGATGTTGACTTTAGAAAGACTAAAATTTATTAGGCGAATATTTCGGCTACTCCTGTAGCCTTTGTCAATGCTTGACATAAAATGAACATATTGAGAAAGTATCTTGGCAATATACAATTTGAGAAACAATATGGTAATTAAGTCAAAGCAAGTCGGCATATATATATATGGATACTCCCTGTGGTTTTACTACAAAAATTGCAATTTTTCTCACAAAAAGTAAACAGATTCTAAAATTAGCAGTCCTAACCTGGTTGTAGCTTTCTGTTTTACATCCTGAATCCATTTTAAATTACATATCATACATTATACATACATATACAGGTCTCCCTCTAAACCACTTTTGGAACTGTGGTTTCTATAGTCTTTAGCAACTTTGGTCTCTAATTATAATAATAAATATAAAATACATTTGTTAATTTAGGACCACAGAAAAGTGGCATTTAATTGGAAGTGGTGTTTAATTTAACTTGATCGGTCTTTAATTAGAGGAAGACCTGTGTTTATTATATTTATTTCTTTTGCAAGAATGTTTTTATGGAATGTGAAGACATTTTACATACAATTTTCTATTTATACTAATAAATAAAAGTACTGCACTCAATCTATTATTACTTACCATTACCAGATAAAGAGTAATTGTTTTTACCATTTATGTCTGTGACAGGAGCCAGGGCTGGCTGTACGACTGTATTCTGCCTACTTTTAACATCCTCCTCATTTACATTCCAACCAGAAGAAAGATCAGCATGATTATTCTGCCAGCCTTCAGAACAACAAATGTTTTCATTTAATGTATAGCTTCAACTAATAATATCATGTGTTTTCAGTATTAATATTTTAGAATAAAATTGAGTCAGATACTAACAAACTTTCTACCTTTTCCTTCATATGCTGACCTTATTCAAGTGGATGTGAAAAACCCAAATTCTTTGATATTTACCAATTACATTTTGTCCAATGTAGCTATCATCATTAATAAATCAATCCTTACAATATGAAGTGTTTGTGTTGGAAACATACCTTTGTACAATAATGGCATAGGATCAACTATAACCCCAGCTCTTGATATCTTCAATGCTATATTTTCATTCTGACCATCTGGAGGTAACTCTCGGTATTCTTCCATTCCGGTACTTGATCTAATTCAAGTTATCACCCATTTCCTACAAAACAGAATTACATACTGTAATTAATAAGCAATTAGTAGAGCTCCGCACAGTACACCATAGGAAAATTATTGTACGAAGGTTAGATTTAATGCTTGAAAAAATTTCCTGAGGGCCTGCAAGGCCTGAAGGAAATTTTTGAATGCATTAAATCTAACCTAAGTATAATAATTTTCCGTTTAGTGTATGATTCATGCTCTACTAATTGCTTTATAAGTCTATCGCTGTCTTTTAATTTTAGTTTTTTATAACCAACTGTTGTAGCAGCCTTCGGTTGCTATAGTGTACGTGTGCGTATTTACATTTAGCTGTGCATATGCTGATTTTTGCTCCTGCAGTACGCGTTTAACTCATCTAACATCAGCAGTACAGTACCGATATGATGAATAACTATTGTGTTAGAAAGAACTTGTTTTTAATGCTATATTGATAGACTTTCGTCAAAGAAATAAACATTTCAGCATTCGAGAGGGAATACAGTCACTGATATCCTTTTTGGTCGGTGCATGTAGACAGGTAAAATCGTGCGATGATTTCATAACTAGGCCAGGCTACGGCCTAGTAATAGTAAGAGGAGGCCCGGGCAGCCTGCCTGGTCGTAGGCCTACATCTAAATTTGTTCCTTGAGTCGTTAAAATAGGTCTAGAATATTTCTATTAAACTTTCAGTTTGTTGTGTTTATGAGGGTCCATTGATTCAATAATTCCTTAATTGTTCATACTTAATATTAAATTTGAAGTAACTTTCTTCGGGTTCTAATTAAGCTTGTTTTACGAAAGTAATATTCAATTACAATTCAATTTTTATCGCGATGTATTCACGGTGATGACGAAAAAATGAGGAATTTTTTTTGCACATGAACCTTAAAAAAATCAAGCTGAGCGTCCAATAATACAAAAATTATTGGATGCTGGGGAATAGGCAAATAACATTGGGAGTTACAGTGATGACGTCACGATTGACTTATAATACATATTATATATATGCCATATGTTAGCTAAGTATAGGTCGAAATATTTGTTTTCTCTAATAAAGTGTTTCTAAAGTCCATACATGTGCTATTCGTTTCTTATTATTTCTTATACACAAAGACGGTTTCGATTTTATCTATTATATCATAATTGATATACATATAGGCTTATATATATTTAAATATATATATATATATGTATATAAAGCATATTTAATGTCTATATATATATTTAAATATACTGTATATATATAAATATATATATATATATATATATATATATGTTATATAATTATTGTCATCATATCGTTAATTGTCATTATTAGTTCTATTAGTATTATACCTTTTAATATTGTTATTATTAATATTACAGTATTTTAATACTATTTTTATAAATGCATTTTTCTTTATTGTTAAGTAAGTGGATGTAATGAAAAAAAAATATAAAGCAACAACATAAAATACTTTAGTTTTGACTTTGCATTCAAATCTCTTTTGGTAAATATAATTTAGTAAATACACACTGCACAGTAAATTGGGGCCGAGTTGACTTGGGGCCGAGTTAACTCGAATTCAAAAGCCCACCCCTCTCTACTCTACTCTACCTCACTGATCAGCCCTAGGTAGAGGAGGACTGGAGCCACGCTAGGCCTAGGCCCTAGCTAGAGTAGGGTGGTCTATTAATTAATAGAACAGGTCAGTTACAAAAGACACATATTCAACCATACGTTGTTTTTGATACATAAACAGCACTATCATGATCATGAAAGTATCACAAACCTGTTTTCAAAAACAGCAATTCTTCGCGGTAGAACTAACAGCTGGCTCAAATTTTTTTGAATGACATAAAAGTTCGCCCTCAACGACATCTTCGAATAATCGCGATATCATCCCCCAATAGAGAGAGGGCAGTTGAAGTTAAGGTTAAAGGTTAGGAGGATCGGATTTTCGTAGATAAACTTGGAAAATGTCGGCTATAAGATTGTTTCTTGTTAACACTTCTCGTCGATATATTTCGACATCTGCTATCCGTAACTTTGCGTCGAGTCAATCTGCCACTGTTGGTGAACATGGGCGTAAGTTTTGAGTTATTTTGCGACAGAACATGAACATCAATGATGATAGGATAGGGCGGCCTAGGCCGTAGCCTAGCCTAGTATCTAACTACAAACAGAGCCTACCGTGGACTCCACTCTCTCTCTTGTTGCTTGTAGCCGGCCGTGAGTGTGGGAGAAACCTTTTTGCCCGGCTAGGCCTAGGGAGAGCCCTTTAGGCTAGGTCTAGGCTTTTTAGCCGCAGTAAAGTATTTCAATAGACGTCAGCGAAACCAGTCAGCGGATGCTACTACAAGCGAATGCTAGTTTGTTTGAGTGTATGCCAAAAAAAAGAATGATATTCTAATAATTTTTTCTATGTGCCCTTAGTCACACATATTTGGAAGTGGTGTATCTAGGGGAACAACGCCCTTCCCCACAAAAATCCCCTACATTTGCTGCTGCATTGAAAATGTCTGAAGCAAACAAAAATCATGCTCAAGTATATACAAATCACCTGATATCACCTTATTTTGTGAGCTAGCACCCCTGCACTTAATTATCCAAATTTATTAGGTAGTCCAACACACTAGATCAGATTTGCCAATTCTATTGTATAACTTAAAATATGGAATAATTATTAAAAGTACCAAAAACCCTCCATTGCATTTTGGTATTAAAACTAAAAAAAACATTAAAATAAATAATAAAATTATCTTGTACTGTATTTGTTTTGGGTAAATTCGCCCTTGTTATAGATTGCACTAAACGCATCAGCTTGAACTACCATTCGCTCGTATTGACGTGCATTTGCTCGAAGTAGCATTCGCTCGTATTGACTTGCATTTGTCATCTGGATCGGAGAGACTCCTGGCAATCTGACCTGGACAAGTTATATAAAGTACATTGCGGCCAGGCCTAGATTGACTACACAAGACGAGACTATTTTTAAAACCTTGTTTAGGGAACCCTCTGACCACCGATAATGATTTAAATTTCAATAAAAAAAAAAAATTGTTTTTGGGCAGTTAGCACACCCTCCACCACGAAAATATGCAAATAGAAAAAATATTATTTTTATTACGTCCTCTGCTCTCTTGAAATCTCCAAAAATATGATATATTATATTATTTATTTATTTACTAATATCTTTAGCCAGGATGACACAATCATTTTAAAGAAATGTTTTTCATTGTATATTTCCATGTGTTTTTTCAGAATCTGCAAAGACTTGGAAGTACCTTTCATTCTTCGTAGCCCTTCCTGGAGTTGCGTTGTGTATGGTGAATGCTTACAGAGGGGAAATGGAACACAAAGCCCATGCCCACCAACCAGAATTTGTTCCATATTCTCATCTAAGAATTAGGAACAAAGTAAGTACTACTGTACAGTATATCCTTAGAAATTCTATTACTAAACTGATGAGTTTTCCAAAAATTGAAAGTTCCACTGATTAATCTCAGATAAGATAGTATAATACTTACTTCAAGTATCGAAATATTTCAATATTAATTATGTCATCATCAGGAATGAAAAATTATCCATATTTGCAAGCTTATATGCACAAAAGTGTTCGACCAATCAAAACATTACCCCTAGTAGGTGGGACACTTTTGGTACTTGTGCATATAAGCTTGCAAACTAAAGTGTACTAAAGTGTAATACATTATTATGGAGTTTTACAACCATGAACTGGCAATTCTCTTAATGTCATCCATTTGAACTTTAGGATTACCTCACTGTGGAATAGACATTTCATAGAATATGACCAGTGTAAGAAAAAACATAATCATGGTTACTTTGTAGCAATGTTTTCCAAATTTTTGATTTACTGTAGCAGGAATATTTTTGGTATTATCATTTTACATGTCCCAAGTTTTTAATAAGGGTGAGGGGCAAATACAGAATCTTCGATTGCTTTATGGATTATCCAAGTATGTAACTTACCACTGAACCATCCATACAGTATAACTTGTTTCTATGTAACTCTATGGTATCTTGCATTAGATAAAGGTTCAAGTTTTTGTAAGATGCCTGTCAACCATATACTTAATGTTAATTATATTCAATGTGTTTTATCCACAGGCTTTCCCATGGGGAGATGGAAACCACTCTCTATTCCACAACCCTAAACAAAATCCTTTACCAGAAGGATATGAGGATGCAGAATAACCCAAGTCATTCTTAAAGAGCAGAAATTTATGAATTGAATTGTGTGTGTTGAAAAGATGAAACAAGGATTTAGTACAATAGTAGTAACTTACTGTTAATTGAACTAAAAGAAAAGGAGTAATCAGTATCAGTGTATATTTATACCTGAATGTTGATTTTCGCTGGTAATTTCAGAAACACTTTCTCTAATACTGACTGGTTTTCCAAAAATGTTTAAAGTGCTAATAAGATTAAAGAAATAAATGTGTTAATAAAATGATGTTTCTGCTCTATCATTTGTAAAGGTATGTGTGTGCCATTCTTTTAAAACAATAATATTTAAAAAACAAATACATTTCTTGTCAAGATAGTATTATTCAAAACATACTGTTGGAATTACTTGACATCAACAATAACACGATAAAGCCACTAGAGCCTTGTACATGATCCATACATAATTTATACACTCCCTTTGTCTACAAGGGGAGGGGAATACTGGGTGTTGTACCATAGTTATGTGTTTTTGTAACTGTAAAACCGACTACTATGACCTTTTAACAGTGTTGATAAAAAAAAGTACAGCCGTGGCTGTGGTATGTATATAATTTTTACAAGAGCACAAAACATCACTAGGTGAGGGGTCAACAGTGTTTACTCTAAATTAAAAATATTTTGTACTCTTGAAAAATAATACATGATCCAACTTTTCTTACATTAAAGTAAACATTTTTGTTCAGGATTTGAACAAGGCAATGGGCTTGGTCAAATTTTTACTGTGACAAATTGCAAAAAAAAAAAATAGCAAAAATCCCCCAAATCAACCAGCTTCATAGGTACAATATGCATCAATAACTTATGACATATAAATCTTCCTTACACGCTACATACACCCATATATTTAATAGCGCCATTACACAAGGCTCTTTAAGGCATGATACAGACATTGAGGTGACATGTCTACCAGTGGCGTAGCTAGGGGCGCACACCACCCCTCCCCCCACCCAAAAAAAAAACTTCGGCCTTTGCCAGTTAAAAATTTTGGACGCAAAAAAATCAAGCTCAAGTGTAGTAGATAAAGATCACCATATTTTGCGAGCTAACGCTCATCAAGCCCCCAACTGTCCCTTCCATTTCAAGACTCCTAGATACGCCACTTAACATGCTGATAACATTGAGGCAAACTATCCATGTTTACCATGTCAAGGTAGAAACATTAACATTTTCAAGCAACCCACATGAATAAAAAGTAACAGTGCGCTTTAAAAAAATGTGTACATACAATAGATGACGAATACCCGTAAAAGTAGCAGGGAGCAGTGCCTTTGGGATAAGAAAGTGGAGCCATGTAGAAAGTGGCATTAATAAAATAATGTCGGACAGTTTGTGCGATGTGCCCATACGTGGGCATGGTGCACGCATGTTATTTAAAAAAAATTTATTTGAAATGATATAAAGGATATTGATAAAACTTTTAAAACATTCAGAAAAACATGTACTGTATTTGCATGTAGATTAGACTAGGTATTAAAAAGGGTGTAATTTTACCATGATATGCAAGTTAAAAAAAACTTAAAAACATCATCTTACAAAAAATAGATTTGAATTATAAAACTTAACACTGCACAAAAATGCTTTCTAAATGTTAACAAAACGTACTGGTACTTATAAGGAAATTATTTTTTAAGTAGCACATTGACAGCTGTTACCATAAAAATAACTTTTTAATAACTTCCAATAAAAGAATGGATCAAATACCAGTTTTATCAAAAGAAAGGACCAAATAAATATATATAATATTGTAAAAAAACATGATTTTGTAACAAAACTCATTTATAAACCATTCAAAATTGCAGCAACAACAGAATCGATAATATAAAATAATTAAATGATAAAATAACATATCTTAAAATATCTTACTATAAGTTCATGTACGCCCTAATCAGTCTGTCCAATTATGGATGGAAAATCGGCTGAAAATGTGGGTACCATTGGAAGTGTATTGTGTAGTCAAAAAAATAGGCTGTGTTTTCGGTGATTATGTTGTCATTCATACAAATAAATTGCCAAACACAGAAATTGAGCAATTTCTTGCCCAGTGCACCATGTTGCCTTAGTTGTTTACATCACCAACAAAAAATTTGCTATAATGAATCCAACCTGGGGGTCAAAACCATGTCTAATTTACGAGAAAATCCAACATAAACGGGTGCGAAACTCTGACGTAATATGTGTCGGTCAGCTTCAAACAACACTGCACAATGGGAAGTTGCTATTACATAGCATAACAAGAACAAGATGTTTGAAATACAGAATTATGATGGCTTGTATCACTTTTTTTGCATACTGTCATGTTGCACAAAATAACAATAACGATTAATGGTATTAATAATATAACAGTAATGATATCGACAATGCACAAACATTAATGACAAATAACCAAGTATGTAATAAAACTGCATTAATATACTGTTCATTATCAAGTTTTTCAAACTGTGTATGATAGCAAGTATTAATTTGTGACTGCGACTTCTAAAAGAAGTTAGTCATGAATAAAACATTCTATTTGAATAATTATTTGGATGTTTTCAAATTAATCTCTATTTGTAATTAATTTGTTAATCCTAATCAATCACCTCTATCATAAAAAACATCCATCATCTTCCACCAATTTGCTAGACTCTGGAAATGATATGCAACTGGTATTACTAAAGTCTCAGACAATTTAAACTTCATATTTTTGCTGCCCTCATGTCATATGTTCCATAATTGCACATACTTGCCCTGAAAACCTAATTAACCCTACAACTACAGATGTTCCAACCTCCAGAACTCAAAATGTGGGAGATAGGAGATGGACTGGTCAAAAATGTTTTCTATTATGTATGCTTTGTCTTTTGAAGTGTCAGTAACAGGTTGTTAATGAATAATTTAATAGACAAATAGTGATTTATTTTTGAAAAGAAATGGCCAGTAGCTTTGTTAAAATAAATTTACATGGCCTATATTCATATTTTAATGAATTTTAATGTATAATCGGTCTATACATTTCATCTTTTATAAGCAGTTTGATGATACATGAGATAACACAATGTAGGTATGAGACGTAAAAATTGGATGCTCATGCGTAAAACCGCGCATTATGTGTGAAAGTTGGCAGGTGTATAATACACTACAGCTCCATGGGTAACTAAATGTTTGACTCAATACTATTCTGCATACTATTACTCACATTACAATTATGTATCAAAAAAGATATTTCACTGCAAATTGTTTCTTTTTTACCTGATACTAGGCCTACTTGGAATTTAAATTAAAAAAAGGAATGTTATTTTTTTGAATGAAATAAAGTAAAAAGATTGCACATTGGTGAAAACTATTTGTTTTTGAAATCATAACCTGATATAAATTTCAGTAAACTGTTCTTTGTATAGTCTTCATCACGGGTAATGCTTCAGAAAGCATTTTCAATATAAATTACCATATTTATAAACACACACAGGCACACACCCACACCTTCTGATGTTGTGTGATCCTCTACTATGTTCAAACACCAACTCTATAGACACGTCCTTTGGCATATTGCAGGTCTATTTATGTCCATGTCCTGTTCAAAGCCAAACAGCCTGGTCTTATGGTATACGGTACTGAAATTTTCCCCGATGTCCTTGTTGATGGTCTGTTTAGAGCAACAGCTAAGGTATTCCATCACACTGTCTGGCTGATTTTAACTGCTACTGCCTCAGTCCAGAATTGATCTGTTATTTTGTAAGAATGGAATGCCAAAAGCATCCAGAATATATATTAACTATCCATAGATTTGGAAGGCCATATGAACAGGTTTCTTTGTCACAACAAACAGTTTAAATTGCACTAGTACTTATAAGTCCGTTTCTCGGATCCAATCAAAATTGTCAAACTGCAACAAAAGCAAGAAAAAAAATATTAAAAAATTACAAAAACAGGTACAGAACAGAACTATTAATATATATAATAAATTCTGAACACTCTATTTAA